AATTGGGCTGCTAACCTCAAGGTCGGCAGATCGAAACTACCAGTGGTTCTGCGGGAGAAAGATGAGGCGTTTTGCTCCTATAAAGATTTACAGCCTCAGAAACTCTGTGCTGAGTCACTATGAGTTGGAACCGACTCCACGGTACTTAACAACAACATTATATTTATTTAAATAAAAGGCTATTTATTTAAAAGGAAGTTAAATATAATTTTTCTATAATTCAATAGTTTTCTTCTGTGATATTGGTATTTACATAATCATTAGCATAATATTGCTGCAAGACGCTACAAAATGCACGTTGTTGTTGTTGTTGCTGTTAAGTGCTGTCGAGTCAATTCCGACTCATAGTGACACTGTATAAGGTTTCTAAGGAGCTGCTGGTGGGTTTGAACTGTTGACCTTGTGGTTTGAAGTCCAGTGCTGATCCTACAGGGCCACACCAGCAGTAAATTATACCATACTGGTGGGTATAAAATGAGCCATCTCAGAAGCAGAACGGGGAATCCCACTACCATCAAGGACGAAGAGCCAGGAGTGGAGTGTGTCCTTTGGATCCGGAGATCCCTGTGCATTGAACTTCTTTGACCCTGGGACAGAAAGCTGTGACATTGGAGGATGCATAGAGGAGGAAGTGCAGCAGAACCAAGAACTAGAGCATGAAACAGAATGGTGTGTCCTGTGGGCATTTGTCAGCAGCTCTAAAAGAGCTTTGTAACATTGGCCAGGCAGAGAGAGGCCTGGCTGGGGGCACAGCTGAGGAGAGGCTGTCCTGACTGGAACAACTGAGCCCTGAGCATTTCTGACCCTGAATTGTAAAATGTTAATTTCCTTAATGGAGTCCTGGTGTAGCAGCATAGTATAAGCACTCAACCTCAAGGTTGGTTTGATCCACAAGGTTGGCGGTTCAAACTCACCAGCCCCTCCTTGGAACCCCTACTAAGGGTCTCTATGAGTCTGAACTGACTACTCAATGGCACTTAACAACAACAAACTTCCTTAATAAACCTCACAACTGTGAGTATGGTATCGGAATTCTATGTGGCCATTGCAATGAATCATTGAACCCCGTTGCGGTGAAGGCATAGTTCAGCCCTTTTTTTTTTTTTTACTGTTTGGTAAATGATCACAGTGCACACTACTCCACCAAAAGCCTCAGCCTGGCTCTAGCTCCCCCAACTAATTGTCTGGAGGCACCCCACTCTGCAAGTAAGTCTCCTGCCCAAAGGCACTCAGCTTTCCTTGCTTTGTGGGCTGGGAAGCCCAGCGCTGTTTCGTGCTCTGTCTGTGCTGCTTCTCCTCTGCTACTACTGTAGCATCATAGCTTTCTTTCCTGTACTGAGGAAGTTCAATACACAGGGATCTTGGGGTCCAAAGGATGCTCTCCACTTCTGGCTCTTCTTTAATAGTAGTGAGATTCCCCCACCTCTGCTTCTGGCCTCATGTTAGATCATAAAATAATTCATTCCATATCTCTATTTCTTTCTACAGCAGAGGATCTAGACTTTGGCAGCTTCATATCTATTTTACATACATTTGACAGATTATAAACTAGGCAAGATGCATTACATAGTGACATAAGGACTTGTTAATGAATGAAAAGTATCTAATGTTGCATGATGGAGGATGGATACTTGTAGTTGCACTAGACTTAAGAGTGCTGGCTTTATTGGATAGGTAACATTTCCAAGGTCACATACCAGAGGCTTCAGCAAGTTCACGGAGAAATTTCATTATCTTTTCATTCTGTTTTTCCACAAACTTTTTGAAGAACCCTCGTATCCTTTGCAGAGCAAAGATTCACATCGAAGTCTGACTCCAATCCTCAACCCAACTGGATGTAAGTCTGCAGCATTATTATGTAATAGGAGTCCCCGATGAGTGCTGTAGGATAAGCACGGGCTTGTTACCACAAAGCTGGCATTTCAAACCCACCAGCTGCTCCTTGGAAACGCTATACAGGGTCGCTATGAGTCAGAACCGACTTGACAGCACTTAATGACAAGAATTATGTGGTTGGAAGATGTATGTGTGGGAGGGTGGAAGTAATGAGGTGGATAGCCTTACAATTCTTGGAAAGGGCCTGAATCAGGAACGCCCAACTCCAGGAAGGTGGCCAAATATTATAGTGGCTGTACCCCTGCTTGTGTAAGTCTGAGTGTGCGTATGGGAGATACCAACTGCTGTCAAGTCATTTACGACTCAGTGATGCAATGGGTCAGAACAGAACTGCCTTATAGAGTTTCCAAGGCTGTAAATTGTACTGAAATCAACGGCCAGATTTCTCCAGCTCTGGGTTCGACCCCTCTAACCTTTTGGTTCACAAATGAGTGCTTTAATTACTGTGTCACCAGGCTTCTTATGGAGGGAAAAAAACCCAAAAACATACTCAAACTCATTGTCACTGAGTTGATTCCAACTCCCAGCAACCCTATTTATGAGGCTGTAAATCTTTAAGGGATCAGAAAGTTTCATCTTCCCCCCCGCCCCAGAGTGATTAGTGAGTTTGAACTGCCAACCTTGTGGTTGGAAGTCCAGTACTTCTACAACAATGATGTTAAGTGCCGTTGAGTTGTTCTGACTCCTCGCAACCCTTATAGGAGTTTGAACCTCTGACCTTGAGGTTAGCAGTCCAGTGCTTATCTAGTCCAGTCCATACCAGGACTCCATTTATAATAACACTGTTGTTAAGTGCCTTCGAGTTGATTTCATCTCATAGCAACACTGCATAGATAGGATTTTCAAGAAGCAACTGGTGATTTTGAACTGCAGACCTTGCGGTTAGCAGTTCAGTGTTTATTGTACAGCACCATGCCAGGATGATGTTCTTAAGTGCTGTCGAGTCAGTTCCGACTCATAGCAACTCTGTACGGGGTTTCCAAGGATCGGCTAGTGGGTTTTAAGTGCTGACCTTGCAGTTAGCAGTCCAGTGCTTATTCTGCCGTGCCACATCAGGACTCCATCACCAGAACAATAATGGTGTTAAATCTCCCAGGTTGAGGGTCACTGTGTTACAGTTAACACGTGTATTAAATCAACTGGAGATGGACTGGCACAGTGACAGCAGCAATGGGCTCAACCTTAAAAATAGTGAGGTTGGCACAGGACCTGGCAGTGTTTTGTTCTGTTGTTCATAGGGTCGCTGTGAGTTGGATCCTAATTGACAGCACCTAACAACAACACAGTCGCTCAATAAGGTGCCCTGGTTGTGCTGTGCCTTATGCATTGGGCTGCTAACTGCAAAGCAAGTTCAGCAGTTCTAATTCACCAGCCTCTCTGTTGGAAGAAAGCTGAGGATTTCTGTTCCCATAAAGATTTACAGCCTCGGAAACCCTACAGTGGATTGCTAAGAGTCTGAATCAACTGGATGACATACAACCACCACTATCACCAGTAAAATGGAATACCTTAACAAATGGAAATGGTATTTTAGAGCAAGCAATTAAACATGAAATATGACCTGTAAGAAACTACAGGTTGTTAGTCTAGTTACTAGTCTCAGGGGAACAATTTAAATGTGTGTCTGTGTGCAAAGTCAGTTGGGATTTACAAAGCTTCTCACTGAATACAGCTAAGATTTACTGAGTCAGCACTGAATTGTCTTCCTCATATTTTGGGAAATTCACGTTTATACATTTGTCTACAGGTGGAAACTCAGTACTGAATATACACAAAAGTTCATATTTATAAATGAAAACTACTCTTCAGACGTTCAACACATATTGTCCTATCCATAAAGACTGGAGGTGTGCCCCTTAACAGACCTGTGACATGAGACAAGAATTAATTTGTCTTTTGAACGGTGTTTTCTTTTTTCTCCCCCATATACATTTACAAATATATGGATTCAAAGGCAGATTAATGATTTTTATTTGCACCAGAGAGAAGGTCAGAACGAGAAAGTGCTGTGTTGTTTTTTGGTTTTGATTTATTTTGAAGGGTTAACATATGTTGTGGGGGTAGAAACGGCTTTTCTGAGTTGCAAGCAAGGATGAGGATCTTAATTCTGCCTTCTCTCAGGCCTGTCTACGAAGCCCTCAGACTTCAGATCAATAAAAACGAGCATTCTCTAGATCGAACCCACTCAACAGTATTTTCGTCATTGCTAGCTCTGACAATACTACAATGAACTACTGATAAAACGCAAGGTACACGCAGGTAGCACAAACATTTGGCCCCAAAGTGCCAACAGACCTTCGGCGGTAGGGGGCCGTGGTCAGCGAGCCAGACCCCGCGGGCAATTCTTCATTTCCTCTGGCCTGGGGTGTACGGGTGCGGGGGTCAGAGGACCTTTCCCCCTTCACTTTCGGCGCAGGTGAAGGGAGAGGCCGAGGGCGCAGGCATGGCTCAGGGCGGCGCCCGGGCACTGGGCCGGCAGCCGCTCCCCGAGCGAGCGCGATTCTCGTGGAGGCCATTATTTCCAGGGGTGCCAAAAGTCTGTGCCTTCTTCTGAGGGCGGAGACCCAGGGCCGTGCGCCGCCTCCCGGCCACGCTACCCTTACCCGGCCTTACTAGACCCCCGAAGCGGAGACGGCCGGAGCCCCGGGTTGGGGCCCCTATGGAGCTCCTAGGCCAGCAAAGGTCGTTCCCCGCGTCCTCACCCAGCGTCCGCGCTCGCAGCGGGCGGTGCCGGACCTCGCCCTTCCTCACTGCTCCCCTCCCCCTCCTGAACCCGCCGCGGCTCTCGAGGTGACATGGCCCGGACCCTCCATTCTCTGCCCGAGAGTATTTAACTAGCACAACCTAACACACTGCTCCCTCCCGGTGACAACCCTTCCTCCGACAGACGCGCCCAGCAGCCAACCACCGGCCAGAGTTGGCGTTCATCCCGCTTCCCTGTCGGTGGCGGCCTCGATAGGCGGGGCCCAAGCAGCTAGCATGTTGAGTGGAGCCACGGCTGACGTGAGTCAACAAAGGTCACGTGAGACGAGTCCGTTTTGCTGATTGGCGGCGCCGAACGGGCGGGTGAGGGGGGGTCACGGCGGCGGCGTGGGGTTCGCTCAGTGACACAATTACAACAACTTTGTGCTGGTGCCGGGGAAGTTTGTGTCTCTAACGAATTCTCCCCGTGTCCCCAGCCCCGCGCGCTCCGGCCATTCCCGCCGTCTCCGTCTGTGGCTGCCCCCCAACCGCTCCCGCGATGTGACCCTACAGCCGAGCCGCCGCTGCTGCCGACCCGGGGGCTTCGCAGCCTCTGCCGCCGCTGCCTTCGCCGCGTTGGGATTTTTTCGTCGCCGCCGCTCGCGGCGGAGAAGGAGGCGGCGATAAAGTTGGTGTGCCGGTCCCGCGCGAACATTGGGGGCGTCGTTGCGGGCCGTGGTCCGGGGGGGGGGTGTCGGCGTTGGAGTTGTGAATTCGCTGCGTTTCCATGAAATCCTGCGGAGTGTCGCTCGCTACTGCCGCCGCCGCCGCTTTCGGTGATGAGGAAAAGAAAATGGCGGCGGGAAAAGCGAGCGGCGAGAGCGAGGAGGCGTCCCCCAGCCTGACAGCCGAGGAGAGGGAGGCGCTCGGCGGGCTGGACAGGTACGAGCTGCCGTCACCGGCCCGGCCGGCTCGGGACGTGCTGGCGCCGCTCTTTTGAGAGGCCCGAGCGCGGCTCGCCGCTGGCGGCGGCGGGGCGGGCACCTCGGCTTGGCGCTCTTGGCGCCGCCGCTGCCAGGGCCTCGGGCTCGGGCAGGGATGGGTCGGTAGCGTTCCCGGAGCGTTCACGAGCCTCCTGTGTCTCTCCCCACAGCCGCTTCTTCGGGTTCGTGAGGTTTCATGAAGATGGCGCCAGGACGAAGGCCCTACTGGGCAAGGTAAGGCAGCTACGGGCTGGAGAGCGGACGCGGGCTCCCCGGCCCGCGCCCCGCTCGCCCCGTGGCCCGCCGGGCGCTCATTGTGGCTGCGAACCGGGGCCGAGGGGCTTCCGGCCAAACCATTTCCTGCCGCGGCTCGCTCCGCCACCCCTGGCGGGCTCCCTGGCGACATCGCCCTGGCCGCTGGGAGCTGCAGGGAGCGAGGCGGCGCGCTTCGGGGCCAGGCTCCGTTGGAGCGGCCCATCTTCCGGTTTGGTGGGGGTAGGCCGAGCAGCCGCGAGCTGGGGATGGTAAGTGGGATCCCCTCTGCTCCCGTGTCTTACTGCCTCGCCTCGCCCGGGGTCTTAGGCTCTTTGGCTCAGGCAGGCTCTTGGCGTTGCGACTGTTAGCCCAACGTTTGGGGCTTTGTGAGAGCCCAGCGCCCCAACGGGGGAAGTTGCCGGGAGTTTTGGGCGGCGTGGCTCGGCTCTGTTGACATGGATCTCGCTGGGCATGTCTTCTTCCACCTGAAGTTAGGTGACTTGTTTACTTTTGGGGGCCTGCTGCCCTAGACAGACCTCAGTACTCTGTGAATGTTTTTTCTTCCTGGAGCCGTGTTTCCTGTGGGTCTGACAGGGGAGGCCGGCAGGATTCGGGTTACCGTCTGTTTATTTGTGTGGAAAGTTGTGGGCACTGTCATTTAGTTAAGTAATGGCTGCTCCTATCGGCCCAAGATGGCGGGACAGGGTGGGAGGAGAAAGTGAAGAGGGGGGGCTGGGGGAGGGAGGAGAGGTAAACATGGAAATAAATAGTTGCGAGGAATAGGCCTGGCCTTCGGAGTGTGGAGCTCGGTGGTGTTGAACGCAAAATGATCCCAGATTATTCTCAAATAGAAGTCCTGGTCCTTCCCTGCTTGGAAGCAGGTTTCATAAGCCTGGTGTAAAAGCTTATCAACCTGTAGCACATTTAGTTACCCATCCGTAAGCTATTGAACAAAGACTGGGAGTCTCAGTCTGTTTGCATCAGTTTGTAGCTCCTGACCAAAACCTTACTGAAAATGGTATTTGTGTACTTTTTTCTTAATTGGGACCGTGAAACATGGTATGAAATAAGTGTTGTGATCATTAGATATTTTCTGTTTTACCTGAAATCAGGAGTTCTGAATTTGACACCAAGCTTTATTGTTGAAGTGTGAAAAGGAAGTTTGAAATTACTAAATGCTAGACTTTTAGGTTTATTTTAGGTTTGTCTGATATTTTTGTTTGTAGTTTGGTTTAGCAGAGCCACTTACTTTATCTGCAATTGTACTTCTATTGTTATTTAAAAGAAAGTAAACATAAGGGGGTTTTGATTGTAAATAGTGATCGGAAAACTAAACTGATATAATTTTCAGTAAGTCCAGTCCGTTGATTAATATAAAAAACTTGAATAAAAGTTAGACTATGTAGGTATTATGCTCCCGTAAAAATTTACAGCCTTGGAAACCCTGTACAGGGTCGCTCTGAGTCTGAACCGACTCCACGGCACATAACAACAACAACTATGTAGGTATTAATTGGCTTTGTTAAAAATTGTTGCTGGAAAAAGAATAGTGACTAGCTCTGGAATGATTTAAGCACCAATGATTGTTGGTTTCCTGCCTTGAAAAAATTTTTTAATATCTGAGTATGGAAGTTTATTGAAAAATACTACTGTCAAAGCTGTCTTTCCAAAAGGTTAAACAAAAGATTCACATTTTAAGGAACATTTTTAAATTTTAGAATGATTATTGATGCTTTAACATGGGATTGATAAAAAACAGATAATTCACTTGGAAAAGTTTAGCCAAATTTGTTGCTTTTAGTTATAATAATGAAGAAATAAATGGAATCTGATGTTTTCTGTGGATAACATGTAGCATGCTAGTTGACTTTCTGTTTCAGAATGCACATATACAGATGAAGTCTCAGTGGATGATGTTTAACATTAGGTTTCAGATTGTAATGCTGAAACACAATGTTATTGTGCACTATTCGATTTAAATTTTAAGGAACTGAGCATTTCCAAGTGTCTTCTTTTGTAAAGATGTGTATTGCTGTGTAAACATTTGAATACAGTTGCATTTTAAAAATGAGTAGTTTTTCCTTGTGTGTTGAGGAAGAATTATAGCTTCATAAAGTTGGGATAATTTAATAACTAGTTGAGCTAAAGGAAAACAAAAACAACAAAAACATCATTACTCAGACTTAGTGCTAGTTAAGTTCTACCTGCTTAGATTAAGACTCATTATTTTAATTGCAATAAGACATTTTGGGGTATGTGTGCAACCTCATGCAGTTCTTAGCTTACATCCTTGTGTGTCTGAACATAACCAGTGAAATATGTGATGTGAAGCTTGACATTGTATGAACTGCTCACTGTGTTTGAATTGGGTCCTAAATAGAATGAATGAACTGGAGAGCTGCTCAGTTGTTGTGAAGTGCTGCTGACTCTGTTCCAACTCATAGTGACCCTGCATAGGGTTTCTGAGGAGCAGCTGGTAGGTTTGAACTGCCAACCTTGTGGTTAGCGGTCCAGTGTTTATCGTATAGCTCCAAACTCCAGGACTCTGAGAACTGCTATAGGAAGTATTAACTGACCAGGGAATCAGTATTTTTTTAAGATTTGACTTTTCTCTACCAGACTGTTCTGGCTACTTACCTGTGGGCAACTAATGAAATTAAATAACTCCTAGTATTGCCTTGTTAGCTTTATCATGCCATTCTCCCCATACCCCCAAAAAGACAAATTTAGTCTGTACTTTGTGTAATAGTTTATGTAAAATGCTTTGTATAACTTTCTGACAGAAATTTAGCTATTTATAAGCTATTGGATTACAAAATATAACTCTTGTTTTTGAAATGCTTGGGAAAGTTTAAACATTTAATAAATATATCTTACTCCCAAACATATTCCTTTTCCAGGCATGTGGGTACTTTATCCAAACCATTGATTTCTCTTGGTTGGTCTCTTGAATGTTTTTGTAAGATTCACTTACATTAAAATCATTGAATGAATGAGCTTTTGTTTGTAGGGTTGCCATTTGATATATATTGCTTAAGATTTTGGATTGAAAAATAGAGATTATTATAATATAGTATGTGAGTTTTATAGTAATAGTTTTAAAATAAGGATGTAAATAACTAGTGGTTGCTTAATCAAAGTTCTTGAAATACAGTATGATCTTGAACGCTTGCTCTTTCACTTAATGCTGACGCTTAATTTTCTGGTAATATAATATTGAGGATTCTTATTTTTTAATGACAGTATGGTTCTGGTGTGGCGCTGTAGTATAAGTATTGGAATGCTAACCTCAAGCTCAGCAGGTCAAACCCACCAACCAGTTCCTTGGAAACCCTGTGCAGGGTAGCTGTGAGTGAGAATTGACTCAGGACACACAACAACAACAGTTATCGAGAAGTAATTAAGAAGTGAAACATTTTTTTTTATTACACTGGTTTTTTTGGTGCGCTTTTGAAAACCTTTTGGGTTATTTTTGTTGTCATTAGAATAAGAATTTGAGTCAAAGCATAACATAGTATCAACATAGATTAGAGGATTACTACAAAGCATAATTATAATAATAATATAATCCTTGAGAGTCCTGGGATCTTATCATCTTATCTGTGTTAGGGGAACTATTGCTGAAATACTTAGTGTAGATACTTAAAGTACTTTCATATTAACTTAAGTTGTTATTTTATTGGATCTTTTCTTGGTAATCCTGTTTATCAGTAGAAAGATTATGTACAGGTTGTAGATGGTTTACCATTTAAAAAATACATGTTCTTTTTTTCTAGGAGATATTCGTATTAAAATATTTGGGTTAAAAGATTAATCACAGAAATAATGTGACGTTGTTTGAAAACTAGGGCTTTCTTTAATTGGACGTTTTCAAAAATTAGTTTCTGCTTTGGAAAATTGTCACCTAAATCATTATAGGTATTTACTTGGATAAAGTCTCATATAGTTACTACACAGGGAAGTGTAGTAACCTTCCTAAAATTTTGATATATTGCTAGTAATAAAGATATAGAAGAAATTACAGAAAATCTACAGGCATGTAAACAATCACTTATTAAATTCTATTTCTCCCTCCCTCCCTCCTTCACTGAGTAGCTCTTTTTGTAGAATAAATTACAAATTGAAATGACTGGGGAACATTTGACTGCCACCTCTTAAGTATTTTAGGTTGCTACCTAAGATCGATTTAGTGACTTAGTGATAAATGTAGTGATGGGGACCACACACTTGAAACCAAGTTCAGTTCTTGGCTACCTATAGAATAAAAGGTCTTTTTCTGACTTAGATTATGTGACTTTCAGATTATGTGACTTTCGTTGTTGTTAAGTATGTTTGAGTTATTTACAATTCATAGTGACCCTGTATAGCAGGGGTGGTGGTTGTTGTTGAGTGCTGTGGAGTGGGTCCTGACTCATAGCAACCCTGATTGAACTGCCGACCTTGGGGTTCAAACCGGCCTCGTATTCAAGGGCTTATCCTACAGTGCCACAGTAGGACTCCATAGCAGGGGTGGGGAACCTTTTTTCTGCCAAAATTTATACCATTGTTTGCAGATCTTAACAAAATTATCAACTTAAAATTAGCTTGCTATATTTGGTCAAACATTTAATTAACTCACTGGTTACTATTAGTCGGAATTGACTCAATGGCACTTAACATCAACAACAATTGTCATGGCTGGAACTGCAAGTTCTAGCTCCATTTTAGGTATTCCCATCCTTCGTCTCTCATACTTTGGACATATTGTCAGGAGGGAACAGTCGCTGGAGAAGGATGTCATGCTGGGTAAGATGGAGGGTCAGAGAAAAAGAGGAAGACCCCAAACGAGATGGATTGGCCAGGTTGCATCATTGATGGCGTCAAGAGTGGCAGCGGTAGTGAGGTTGGCCCAGGATAGGACAATATTTTGTTCTGTTCTGCATGGGGTCGCTATGAGTCGGTTCCGACTCGATGGAACCTGACAACAACAACAATATCAG